GTTTAGTAAATGAATGGAGAGAATGAGTGAGTGTGGTACCTTGGCCCCCTTTTATAAGGAGAGTGTACCTTTTGGGCCCAAGTTAGGCTTAGATGTCTTAGTGGGCTTATCCTCCATTATGTATCCGCTTTATCTATAATCGGGTCCAGTATAATATCCTATATCAGTGAGGAATACTAAGTAACGTGCGCTAGTTATTACAAGTACCGAGCCTTTGCACGCAAGCCGCAAGCATCTGTACGCATAGCAGTAGCACTCCACGGCAGTCAGCGCACCGCACGACAATCAGGCGCACGCTAGTACCCATTGCGAAGTAGCATTCCGTCGCACACAGACCGCACGCACGCAAGCGGAGGGTCACGGCCGAGTACGGGAATTCGAAGAAAGTAGTCATTCGGACTTAATCGGAGGTAAATTCCCGACGGTTGTTGACCGAGATTATCATGTTTATTAAGTTCGATTTTTAGTTAGACATGCATGCGTGTTATGCGTGGTAAAGGCCGTGTGAGAAGCCGTGCCGATCATGTCATGTTTTTAAGTTAAAATTCTCCGAGCAATCCTCGCATATTTAGCCTTTATATGCTATATCATGATCAGATTAGTTTATGTGTTCGGAGGATTATTTAGGTTTTGAGGTATTCGGCTGAAAGAACGTGGTTGCGCATATAACGCACCACGGGCCGTTCATATGTGTTCAATATGTTTAGCTCAAATCATTTCAGTACATCATGTTATCTTATCAGGTTTAAATTCAGTTGGTTGTGTTTGGCCGAAATGAATTGATGTTCGGTCGTAAAACGGCACAACGCCGTCGGCGGCTGATGAAGATCGCGTGTCCCGACTGTCGATAAGTCGCTAGCCCGCGCCTTGAATCGCCGATAGGTGTTCTTCGAGCCACGCCCGCGCCTCTTGGAACGAATAAAATTACAATAAAATTTTGGTGGAAAACTAAAGCAAAGTGTTCGAACAAAAGTTCAATATTTTCTACTAACTAAGACTACTCAAAGATTCAATTCATTCATCTATGAAAAATAACAAGAGGACATGGGTATTTATAGGAAAAAACTAAATCTAATTCTAATCTAACTAGATCTCTTAAACTGTGCAGTAAATAAATCCTAATGCTAGTAAATCTCCTAATATCTTTTACTA